CGCTCTCCTGCTCTGGGATCTTGGTACTCGCTGTTCCTCTGCCTGCAACAGACCCTCCCTCCACACTTCCCGGCTGGTTCCTGCTCATCAGTCGGGGCTGGCTTAGATGACCTCTCCTCGTTGAGCCTCCCCTCCCAGTGACGGCTGGGGAGGCTCCCCCCTCGCACGGATTCTTTCTCACTTTTCATGAGGGATATTTTTGAATATACACAAAAGGAGAAAGAACGGACTAGTGGACCCCCCAAGGAGCCATTGTTCCACGTTAACAATTATCAGCACAGCCCCTGCTGGTCTCCACAGTGTTCCACCAAGGCATTGCAGCCTGTCCCCCTGACTGCCTGCAGGTTCCTGAGGCTGAGACAGTGATTCGGGCCCCACCAGCTCTCAGGACATTCGCACAGAGAAGGCCCTCAATCCACTGTGGGTGGATATTAAGAGTCCCCATTTGTTGAGCACTTGCTACAGATTCAGGTGCTCTGCTAAGTGCTTCCGCGTCTGAGCTCACTGAATCCTCATAGCGTCCCTGTGAGACGTGGGTTATTATTACCTCCACTTTACAGACTGGAAAACTGACGCTCTGAAGGTTACATAGCTGGTCGGTGGTAGAAGGCAACCCAAGGCGGTCTACCTCTGCAATAGAGCTGCTCATTGAAATAGAATGTGAGCCACATGTGCTATCTGACATTTTCTAGTAGCCACATTAAATGAAAAAATAAATACGTAAAGTTAATTTTAACAGCATGGTATCTTTAACCCAGTACATTGAATATACCATTTCAACATGTCATCAATGTAAGACATTACTGAGATATTTTACAATCTGGTTTTCATACCAAGTCTTCAAAATCCTGTGTGTTATCTTTTCAGCACAGCTCAAATCAGACTGGCCACATTTCAAGTGCTCCAGGGCCACACGGGCAACCGTATTGGCCAGCACAGCTAGCAATCACCACCCTGGACACGGCCCTAAAGCCTGCACTCTCAACCACGTACTTCTCTATACTTAAATGAATTAAGGAGAAAGTGAGTGACTAGGAGTCCCAAGGACCCCTGGTCCTGATCTTTCTTTGACAATAATGCTTAATATTTTATGGCCCTTTAGAGTCTCTCTGGCATCATCTCATCTGCCACGGGAGTTATTATCTCCATTCCATGAATGAGGATTATGGGGTTAAGAGGGCCAAACGCCTTGCTGGACACCCTGCGGCAGGTGGGGGTGCTGGGCCTCACACTGACAATTCTGGACTCCAAGTCCAGCGCTCTGCGGGGCAGCTGCCCCTTGAAGCAGGACTACCTCCATCTGGTAGAGGAGGGTGTCTGCTCAGACCACAGGCTGGGCTGGCCACTGGGGACAGGAGCCCGCAGAGCTCCAGAGGTCAGGCCCTGGAGGAAGTGATGCCCTTGGTGAGCGGCAGGGCAGGCACAGGCTGAGGGAGCGATGGGGCCCGTGCCAGGTCCTCTCTGGGCAAAAACCTTGTCCTTCTTTGGTCACAGTTTGGCCACAAGAGGCTGAGAAAAAATTGATGGCAGTGGAGCCATAACTTACCTCTGAAGGCCTCTTTGTTCTTGGCAAAACAGAGGGGTCATTAGTAACGGGGAAAGCACTGGTGTGCGGACATAAATCCCCCCGGCTGCAGGGACGGTAAACAGCCCGGAGGGGACGGGGCCTCAGGGAGCTGGGCAGGTTAACCTTGTGCCATGGGCTCAGGCCTGTGTCCGAGGCAGACCACCTGCCCAGGCTCTGGAGGTCACCCACGGTGCCCTCAGGACTCGCACCCAGCTCCAGGAGACCCTGGGGCCCTCAGTTCTTTCTTTCTAATGAAAATGGTTCCAGAGCACCTGGGCTGGAGCAGGCTCCCACACTGGGCACTCAGGGCCAGCGTGGGGCAGTCAGCATGAAGGGGCCCGGGAGGGCATCCCTTCTTCTTGCTTCAAGCCAAACAGGCACCGGCCAAGCCACCTGGGAGAGGGCTGCGACTTAACACCCTTGGAGAGGCAGGTGTGTGAGGCCAGGCCCTCGGCAGACAATGTTCTTTGCAGCAGTGTCTACGCTGGCCGGCTGGGGGAAGTAGAGAAGAGGCCAAATCCTAGCCTCTGTCCACCTGTCCCCCTGGGGACTGTGCCCTCCTGCCTGCCTGCCTGCTTGGGTTTGGGCTGAGGCTGGCTCACAGGGAGTCCACACCGGCCCAGGCCTGGGAAGAAGGGCAGGCAGGGGAGCCAGGTGCTCAGGATGGCAAGGGAAGAAAGAGGACTGCCCTTTCCTCAAGCTGTCTGAAAAGGATTTGGGTGCGCTCGGGTGGCGACAAATACCCATGACAATGAAGACCATCGTGGCCACCCTGCGAATGTGATCCAAGTGCTACCTCACCGAGGATGGCAGACATTTGCCGCAGTGCTGCCCCCTCCATTTCCACACCCATGGCAGACTCTACCAACTGATTACCGCACTGAGCCTGCTTGGCTTCCTGGTCCTCTTCGGGCAGCCATTACCAATCAATCAAAGTTGGCAGGTAAGAGAAAGCCCATCTGTCATCCTTTCTAAAAGCCCTGAAGGCACATCTGTGCTGGCAACGGGAATCCTATAAAACTATGCTAAGTGTTCCAGGTCTTCCAGAACTTTCTGCCTCCTGCCCCCACCTTCACACACATCCCCTACCTGTCGTTTCACGTCCTGGGTCTCCCTCCTTGTCCTGTTGTTTGCACTTGGGAACCTGGTCCAGGAGAGCGTGCCTCTGGAAATCTCACAGGATGCTGCCTCAGGCAACTGCCTCCAGACTCTAAGCTTCAGAGCCCAGCCCAGATACCAAAGCAGCTCTGCCCTGCAGCCTCCTGCTCCAGAGGAAAGGGGTGACCGGGGCCATCTCTGAAGGTTAGAGACGACCTGAGGGTCTGGGGCTGGTGGCCTGGCACCCAGCACGGACCTGAAATGGACCAATGCCCTGGAGGATGGCCTCCCAGTGTCACTGCAGGCATTATTTCCAGTCTGTCCATGACCTCAGGCCAGGCCCTGGCTCCCTGCTCCCCACCCCCACCTAGGAGTATGTCTGGAAGCAGCCCAGAGCCAATGAGATGAGGAGACAATCCCTTACCCAGCCAGGTATCCCGCCTGTGCTGCCACCTCATACTGGGCCCCCAACTCCATCACCCTTGGGGCTCACCGCTGTTCCCTCAGATCTCCAGCACAAGCCCCCTGTCACTGGGAGGCACTTGCTTTGCTTCCCAATTTGACAAACTCATGAGGGATACCAGTATCAGCGTGGGCCTCCCATCTCCTCTGCTCACCAGGAGAGGGCCCCTAATTCCCAGGAGGACTCTGCCTTCCTACAGAATGGCTTCCTTCCTAGGACCTCCTTTTCCATATCCTGGCCTAAGGACCACCTACCTCTGGAGCACTGGGAGAAAGGACCTTTCCTGGGTTGCACCGCAGTGCTACAGAACAAGAATCTTCACGCATGCCAAGGACTCTGCATTTTGGTAGGAGCCCCAGCTGATTCTTGGGCATACTGGAATTTGAATACCCGTTACTCTAGAGTGATGCTCATTCATTCATTCTACAAGTACATATCGGGCTTTATTCTTGTTGAGTCCTGTCCTGGGCATCAGAATGGGGAGGAAATGGGGTGCGGGGAGCAGAGGCCCAAACCCACACTGCTGTTACTGACCACATGAGCTGGTCTGACATTCGCTCTGGGTCCTGGGGTCCCCTGGGCTTAGAAGCACAATAACAGTTATGCTAGAAGCTGCAGGTCACAGGAAGCCCATAATGCCCTGATTTCGTGCATTCCAAGGATGTGAGGGGTCTCCCTCACACCAGCTAACCCTCAACATCCGGAAGGTATTATTAGTTGCTAGCAGAAATAATAATAAAAGCTAACAATTATAAAGTACTTTACATACATTAATTAAGCTCTTGACATATAGTGAGTCTTCTGACTTTTGAACCACCTAAGGTAGATGCTCTGATTGCTCCCATTTTATGGATGAGAAACTGAGGTATGAGAGCCACCCCAGGCGGGATGCTCAGGAGACTCCATCCATGTTCTTGATCACTATACACATTGGTGCCTTTTGAGCTTCAGGGAGAAAATGCCCCCAAAATGCCACTCTCTATTCTTGGCAGTGTGGTAGGGAGGGGCAATGGGGTGGACACTGGCCTGGTGGCCTGCCATCCTCCTGGCCATCAGTCTCGCCTGCCCAGATGCACCAGGCTGACCGTTCACTCACCAGCGGGTTGGGCAGGGAGGCCACGTGTGGGGTGTGGGTGTGGGTGGGAGAACAGGGACAGGTCTGGAGTGTGTGAGTGAGTGAGCAGTTTCTCCTGGACCTCTCACCAGCCGCCTTGCTCCAAAGCCACCCAGTCCCAAGACAGCCAAGGAGCTGCTGCTTTGTCAGTCTTTGGGTGGGGACGTGGGGTGAGGGGTCCCATCAACCAGAACCCTCTTTGCATTCAGTCACTGTTCTGCTCAACCAAGGGACTGGGTGGGGAAGGAGGGCTCATGTGCCTCCCTGCAACACTCCAGACGAGACGTGACTTTCTAACGGTCAGAAATGTAAAAGGAGCGTGAAATCAGCCGAAGTTGCAGCTGTATTAGTTCTAAAGTGATGTAACAGCTGCCATCTTTTCATCAAGTGAGTAAAGAAAAACAAAGAAAATCCCAGAGCACTGGTAAGAGTCACCAACGACCTAGGCTCAGAGCCCCAAAGTGCCCAGAAGCCTGAGACCTCGGACAGCGGCGCACGCTCCTGCCTTCCAACACCACCCAGCAGGCCCAGGCACCTAAGCCTCTGTTCCAAGCTCCTTTTCCCCTCCCCTGCTCCTCCCTCCTTTAGCCGGTCAGTTCCCTGCCTGGGTCCTTTGGCCAAGGTTGTCCCTGGGGGCAGGTCCCTTCATGCCACTGTCCCACATGGCCATAGATCTCTCCACTGTCCTGCAGAGCCTGACACTCCTAATGCAGCTCTTCTTGAGTCAGGGTGGGGGACCAGGGCAGCCCAGGCCTTACCTGAGATGATGGTGTAGCCAATCCCCCGGGGACGTCCTTTATCCTGGTCGATGGCGGTGATAACACGCACCGTCGTGCCCTGGGTGGGAAAGAGAAAGGACTTGAGTTTGGTCGCCCAGCCCCCAGGCTGCTGTTCTTCTTTATAGCTGTCCCGGCACCCACAGCTTCCCTCCCCATGGGGACTTCCTGGCCAGCCTAGGAAGTAGGTACCGAGTACACAGGCCATCATCCCTGGGACATATGCCGAGGCCCCCGGGCAAACACCTCCATGTCCACTGGAGAGGCCCAATCTTGCTGATTCTCTTGCTTCCCCTTCCCCTCCCCAACTCCCCTCATTCGGATAAACCACCCAGGGAAGAAGAGCTGATGGAGGAGCATCCAGCAGGAGGACAAGAGGGCTGGTCTCTATCTCGAACACACATCAATGCTGTGTGACCTCAGGAAGTTTGCTGCACCCCTCTGGTCTGTTTTTCCCCACCTTAATATGAATAACAACAACTCAGTTTTCAGTAAGGACTGAGTAAAGGAGAAGATCATGAATCAACAACTCTGTGAATGAAAGCATCATAAATCCTGAAAATGAGTATCTCCAGGATGACCGTGACAACCATGGAGGCCACCATGGTCCTCTGAACCATGCCCCATCCAGCACTACAACCAGCAGCTCCTGCCTCACATGGCTCTGCCCCACACCCCATTCATTCTCCCTGCAGCACTGGGGGAGAAGGGGCTAGGGGCTGGGACTCCCACATGGGGATTCAGGGACCCCTGCTTTTGGGGAGCACACAATATGCACAGACACTGCTATACAGATATGAGGTTGCTTAGATGCATAAATGAACCCCAGAATGTACAAGTCCACCTGGAGGAAAGGGTTGTACAGATGGTGACATTTAGGATGGGTCATGAAGAGTGAGTAGAAGTTTGCCAGAGAGAGAAAAGAAAAAGGAAGGTGCTCCAGGCAAAAGACACAACACCAGGGGGCTTCCCTAGTGGCGCAGTGGTTAAGAATCCGCCTGCCAATGCAGGGGACACGGGTTTGAGCCCTGGACCGGGAAGATCCCACATGCCGCAGGGCAACTAAGCTTGTGCGCCACAACTACTGAAGCCCGTGCGCCTAGAGCCCATGCTCTGCAACAAGAAAAGCCACTGCAATGAGAAGCCCGTGCACCACAAAGAAGAGTAGCCTCCGCTCGCCACAACTAGAGAAAGACCGTGCACAGCAACGAAGACCCAACGCAGCCAAAAATTAATTAATTAATTAATTAAAAAAAAAAAAAAAAGACACACCGGCAGGGGTTTGGAGGCCTACGACTCACTAGGAAGAGATGCTGGCATATAATGGGCACACTCAAGTATCAATTGATTGGCCAAGTGATTGAATAAATGAACGTACAAATGATTGGATCCTAACTTCGCCACCACCACCACTTGCTGAGTCGCCCCTCACCCAGGGCAATGTTCGCTTTGCTCTCCAGGCCCTATCACACCAGCCATGCCTGCCTGAGATTCTGGCCCAGGCTGCAGTTCCCCTGACTGACGGAGAGCAGGACAGCCTTGTCCCCAGCCCCTAGGGAGATATCAACCCTGGCATTTGCATGTCTAATGAACGTCTCTTGTGGCATTGGTGCCTCTCACATATTCACTGGTCATCAGCTGGAGACTGAAGCCTGCAGGCTGCACCCTCCACCCCCACCTGAGCACCTTCTCCTGTGGAAAGAGGCTAGTTCCTGACACGCAGGCCTCTGACCTGGAGGGAGTGCCCTGGGGGCAAGGTGCCTCCGACTCCTCCTGGTCTCCCTGCCAGGACACAGGAGGGGCATCTGCCACCTCACCCTCCTGGGGCAGTGCTTCCCCTGCACAGCTGTCACTCCAGCCTCTCCTGAGCCCAGGTGTGCGGCAATCCTGAACGCCCCCAGGTTTGGCTGAGGGAAGGTGAGAATGTTGCAGGGGAAACGTCTCCAGCAGAGAAATGGACACAGCGCAGAGGCGGAGGCCACACAGAAAGCAGGTCTGGCTCCTTCCTTTGCACTCCCCGCTCTTCCCCCCCGCCCAGGAGCTCTAGCTAGATCCCATGGAGGAAACAGACTGTTACAAAGTCAGAGAAAGATGCTATTAAAGACGCATCTCTTGAAGTGGGTTCTGAGGACCTGAGCTGTGTGAGAGAGTGTGAAGCACCTGCGGCGGCAGGGGCCCTTCTCCAGCACTCACCGTGTGCCTGGTGCCGCTGCGAACGCCTTTTATGTATTAACTCATTTCACCCTCTCAACTACCCCGGGAGACAGCCCCATTTTACAGATGAGGAAACTGAGCACCACGAGTTAAGTGGCCTTTCCAAGGTCCCACCACGAGGAGGGAATGGTGAAGCCAGGATTCAAGGTCAGGTACTTTGGCTCCAAAATGCTCTTGCCTGCCAGGAGATGCTGCTTCTGTAACAGGTCGTTATAATAATGATAACTGCCATTTATGAAAGTTGTGGCTATGTACCACGCACTAGTGTAAGCACTTTACATGTATTAATTCATGTCAAATATGGGAAAACATACATTCCCTGTCCCTCCCTTGGAGATGCACGATGGGCTTTAATGTGGTAAAGGCTCCCAGAAGTAGTAAAGCGGTAAAGAAATCTGTTACCCTTTGCTCTCCCCCGTTTTCTGAGCTGAAGACAGATTCTTTTTGTGTAACATCTTAACAGCCTCAGACCCAGGGGTACGTGGGAGGTCATCTGGGAAGCACTGCATTAGATCTGAAGGGTCTACACAAACGGCTCCCCCCATCACTCCAGGGGGCGTCTTTTGGGGGTATGCCTTTCCTGGTGTCACTCCTTACACAAGAGAGGCCTGGATTTGTCCCCAGGCCTGAGAGTCCAGGACTCTGGTCTGAGGCTCCAGCTGCCAGGAAGGGCTTTCTCAACACAGGGTCAGCTCCCTCTTTCACAGCCCCATCCAATCTGAGCCTCACGTGTGTTCCAGCATGAGGGTCCCCTGGCTGCCCGTGGCCTGCTGAGGGCAGGGACTGGCCTGCCAGGTCAGCTGGGCCCAGTGCCTACCAAAGCACCATTCCAGACAGTCGCTAAACAATAAACCTCAAGGGGCAGCTGCATGCTTGCAGACGTACAACCAGGGCCTGGAGTGGTCAGTGAGCCTCAGGAGGACGGGAAGGGGGCCAGCGCTGGCCTGTGCAAAGAGGGGAGGTGGTGGTCAAGGAACCCTCAGCCCTCAGAGCCCTGTGAGAATCTCCCCGTGGGTAGCCCTGCCCTTGGCAGCCTGGAGTCCTCCTGGGGGCCAGGGCTCAGATGGCCCAGTGGGAGAGCCAGGACCAGACGGCAAGGAGGCTGGCTCTCCCCCGGAAGAGCCACACCTGAGCTTCCACGAAGGGAGCTCTAAGAGGCTCCTGACAAAGTTTGGGTTTTCATCTTTTTGGATAAATAAATCCATTTTTAATAAAACCCTGAGCTTTTAATACAAGTGCAGCCACAAAGACTGGAAATGTTATGAGAAGGAATTAACAGGGAGGACTAGGGGCTCCTGGGAACCCACCGCTCTTGTTTCAGTCTCAGTGATTATATTTTCAATATACTGAAACTATTTCCAAAGATGAGAGGATGGAGAAGTGCCTGTCGCGGGCCTGGGCCCCTCTACAGGGGTGCACTCTGCTTGGCTGGCTCTCCAGAGAGGTACCCCAGCTTGGGGTGCATCAGGGTATGGCCAGGAGAGCAGGTAGGTGGGCGCAGAAGGGCTAGAGTTGGGGCCCACCTGGCCACAGGGCTTCTTCCCTTCATAGGAACCCACACTGCAAGAGGAGGCTTCCTGGGAAATGAGGCCCCCACCTCCGCCCCCAACCCCTCCCCCGAGAAGCTAAAGGTACACAGGCATGCAGGGTCCCAACTCCTTATTGGGGGAAGATCAGTACAGCAAGGGGGTTAAGGGTGTGACTCTGGTCAGCCTGTCTGGATCTGAATCCTTTGCGTGAGTTACTTAACTTCTCACCGTTTGGGTTTTCCCCATCTATAAAGTGGGTATTACAACAGTCCCACACCTCAGCAAGGGATACATGGAAAGCACTTGAAGCAGCACTGGGTGCACAGAAAATGCTATAAAAGTGACTGTCACTATTCACTGGAGCCTGGAACCGCCGTGCACATCTGATGAAAGCTAAGAGGCCTCTTCCCAGACTATGCATGCATGTGACGTTCCAAACAATTCCAGCAAAATGCAGGCCCCGCAGGACCCCAGGTTAATGATCCCCACCCTGGAGGGAAGACGTTTTCTGGGAATTCTATAGAGAGAAGAGCTAGGAGCTCACAGGGAGAGCTAGCATTAGTTGAGCACCTACTGTGTGCCAAGCACTGTGCTGGGCTCCCGCATAGGTTCCTTCACTTTTTTCTCACAACCTCTCACAGTAAGGGTACATGTGGGGAGATTGCGGCTCAAGGTGTGGTGAGGGGGTGAGTGAGGGTGCCAGGCAGCCCCAGCCTCTGAGGCTTGGGTACCAGCAGGGAAGTCGGGGCAGAGCTGAGACGAGCTGGGACCGCTCTAGAAGGAACATGACTCTCCCTTCTGTGGCTGCCTCCTTCCAAAGAAGCTGGCCAGGAGAGTGGCTGAAGCTGGAGCCTCAGGGGGCCTGTCTACCTCTTCCTCTGCCGGCCCAGCACCATGCCCCTCCCCCATTTCCATGACAGGATTAAGGACTTGAAAGGATGACATGCAGTTTGCTTCGGGAGTGGGAGGCGCCCTTGGGGGGAGGCAGCCCATGGGTCCGGAAGAGACTTCCGACAGGAGCTGCCACAGCAGATTCTGAGGCAGAAAATCCTATTTCTCAGTCCTTAATTCCAGTCAATTCCAGTCAAAGGGCTGATAGGCATCGGCTGGCAGTAATTTGTGCAGTTTATCCGCTCTTTTCACCTTCTATCGGTCCTTCACTGACGGGCAGGCCGACATGCTGTTGCTCGAGTGAGGAAATTAAAATTTGATGCAATAATCCCAAATAAGAAGGATTTTATTAGGTAATATATACACTTTAGATGAGGCATGCTGACCTGATACACTGATAGAGGGAGGCGTAACATGCTGGGAGCTGCAGATAAAAAGGGGGAGTGAGGGAGAGTGGGCGAGGGTCCGGATGGAGGCGCTGGGCCAGCAGAGGCAGGGCCGGGGATGGGGGACTCCTGGGTCCTCCGGCCTGGGGGACTGATCAGGCCATGGAGCTCCTCTACCCTGGCCTGGCCGGGAAAGTGCTGCGTTAAATCAGGGCTCCACACTGTAAAGGGACATGGAGGGCCCAGATCAAGGCACGGAAACGGATTAGAAGCCTGGAAAAATCAGGCTTAGGGTGTATGGGAAGCTGTGCAAGGGACGCGGTGAACTTTCAAGACTGGAGGCAGGGAGGCCAGAGGTGTGTGGACACGGAGGCGATTCTGTGGGCGCTGGGAGAGTCCGAATCTCCCAACTTACTTCCTTGTCTGGCTTGCCCACGCCTGGTCATGACCCAAGAGGCAGGACTCAGACCTGCTCCCTGGGAGCCCCCCAGACATTGGCTTTAGTGGCCTTGCGGGGCCAAAGGGTCAACCCTGGCAAGGCAAAGAGATATCAAGGTCCCTCATCCTGAGGAAGAACCATGTCAGATGTCAAGAAACCGAGCATAAGGAGCGCGGGAGACAAGGGGAGAAAGGGCCCCGTTTGCCTGTTCTGAGGAGTCATCCTAGCAGGGGCCCGTGGAATCATCGGGAAAGTGTGGCTTAGCACAGGGCCCTGCACACAGCAGGGGCTTAATGAACATCTAGAGGATGAGTAAAAGAATGAAAAATGGAATGGATGGCTGGACGAACTCAGAAATCTGCAGATCTGAAAGGAACACCTGTAGTAATAGCTACATTTAGTATTACTCTGCTACGATACAGGGATGCCAGGAGAGACAAGACAAACTGAAGATCTCGGACGCTACTCACACCAACACCCCTCTTGCTGACCACCGAGACCCTGAAATGAGGCGGAAGCTGGGACCCCCAGCCCAATCCCAACACATAACCGCGGCGTTCTAACGTCTGTTAAGGCCGGCACTGCTGGGTGCTTCAATCTCTAAAACCCCCAGGCTAGGGGGGCACAATTGAGACAGCTGTAGCCCCGGTTCCCCGAAGAGGAAGAGGTCTGGAAGTCGTGTGATTTGGCCAAGCAAGTACATGGCAGTACAGCGACCTGCTCCGAGACCCCTGGCTGCCCAGCCACCATCATGTCCTCACTTCAATCGACAAGCTGGCTTTGCCCATATTGCCTGCATTCAGCCCTGAGCACGATGCCCTGGGAGGCCTGTGGGAGGTTCCCACAGGTCCCAAAGACTCAGCCACCTTGGTGACCAGGAGCCCCAAAGTAACCCACTTACACTTCAGTGAACATTACAGGTGTGGCTACAATTCAGTGGGAAGTCATGCAGCGTAAGGAGGGTGAACTCCAGCGGAGCTGAGGGGAGAGGGATGTCTATGCCTGGGCCAGTGAGGAGGAAGCCAGGAAAAAATTCCAAGAAAGGTCGTCAGTGAGCTGGGAACCAACAGATGGGTGGACTTGGGGTTGGTGACCAGAGCAGGCACGAAGGGTGATGAGGATGACAGGATAGCAAGAGGGCTGGTCTGACCAGGGCATTTGTTTGTTTGTTTGTTCGTTCGTTCGTTCATTCATTCACTCATTCCAAAAACACTTCCTGAGCACCCACGGTGCGCTATGCTCACAGCAGACCCCATTCTTGCCGCGCTACTCTCGCGGTCCAGCAAAGGAGCCGAGGGTGAGTGAGCCGCGCAGGAGCGTTGAGCACTAAGAAGGGACAGCCAGGGGCTGGGGGCAGATGCAAGCGCCCACCTCGCCTGAAAGGTCAGGGAGGAGAATATGAGCGCTTATTAGCAAAGAGGTTTTGGGGGAGGCAGCCTACAGTCTTGAAAGCCCAAGCTCCTGCTGTCCATGGACCACCAAGAAAGAGACGGCTGGGGTGGGGACATTCAGATGTCTCCCTCTGCCCTCGAAGCAGCTTCAGACACCTGCAACAGGAGGCCAACTTGTTCGTCAGACCCTCCAGCCCACAAGCGGCCCCAAGAAGTGGATACCCCCTCACACCTGGAGCCTGCAGTATGGTGCTTGGAGGAGGCCGATGGTCGGGACAGACCATGGTCCCGAACTTGGGGGGCAGGCTTCCTGGTCTGTGGTGGTCCAGGAGCATGGCCTGCACTCCGGTCGGGGGAGCCTGCCTCTCACTTGTACCGAACTCTGAGAGCCTGTGCAGACATGCGCGTGGGGCGCTGAACAGCCACACGTTCAGGTGTGTGCCCCCCTTGGCTCTCAAAGCTGCGTCTTTCCTCTAAGCACGTGTAGTTCCCAGAAGGAGGGGCACAGTTTTCTTTCCACAGAGCTGTTCCCCGAGCTGCATGTCCAGGGGTTGTGTTTGCCCGAGGAGCCACCTTTTTCCAATTCATCAGCCCACAGCGGGTGCTCTGTTCTAGTCTGTACGAAAGCAGGGATGGCTACCGGACGAGGGACGCCTAGTACTGCCTGCCTGGCCCACAGTTGAGCAAAGCTGCCCACCCACAGCCCCTGCCCGGGGGCAGCGGCATGCTTTGTCTCTAAGACCCCCAGTCACAGCTGACAACCATGGTGGAAACATGGCCCACGGGCAGCCAATCTACAGGCTGGCTGGCGACCTCTGACCTTGTGACATGGCACAAAATCACACCATGGCCAGGCTTCCCTGGTGGCGCAGTGGTTAAGAATCCCCCTGCCAATGCAGGGGACACGGGTTCGAGCCCTGGTCCGGGAAGATCCCACGTGCCACGGAGCAACTAAGCCCATGCACCACAACTACTGAGTCTGCGCGTCACAACTACTGAAGCCCGCGCGCTTAGAGCCCGTGCTCCACAACAAGAGAAACCACTGCAATGAGAAGCCCACACACCACAACGAAGAGTAGCCCCTGCTCGCTGCAACTAGAGAAAGCTCGCGTGCAGCAACGAAGATCCAACGCAGACAAAAAAAAAAAATCAGACCACGGCCAATCAGGTGCCTCTCCTGCACACGTGGCCCTGGGAAACCCAAAGTCTGGGCAGTCAGAAGGGGCAGCCGGAGCTGTGAGTTCTCAGGGAAGAGCCAAGCCTAGGAAGGCCTGTGGGGCGGATGGCAGGTGGCCGCCACCTTGGGCAGTGATGGCTGGCTGAGAGAGGCAGATTGACTGACTGACACGTGGGGGGCATGGCTGAGCCCCACTGATGTTTTTGGGAGCCTGGCTGAGTCCGCATTTGCTCTCCAGCCCAGGCTGGATTTTCCACGGGCATCCCCATCATCTCATGTAAATCCTTCTGAACTGCTGCCCTTCGCTTGCACTAGCCAGTCTTTGCTCTTTGCCACTCAGAGCCCTCCAGGGATGAAGTGAGAGAACGAGGAGGTGGGGTGTGGTATAAGAGGGGATTGGGTTTTCACTGTGCTGGGCCACCCATCACTGCCATGCATAGGGGTTTGGGGGAGTAGGAAACGCCAAGGAGCCCATCCCACCAAACAGGGCCCCCATCCCTACCAGAGGTGCAGAGGGAAGTCTCACAAGGGCCGGGGAGGGTCTTACCAGAGGAGAATGCTCATAGACGTTGGTGCTGTAAGGCAGGTTGATGAAGATGGGGTCCATGTCCTGGACGTCTGTGATGATGATGGCCAAGTTGGCCAGGGTGGACAGAGGCCTGGTCTTGTCTTGATCCTTAGAGAACAAAGAATACACAGCCTTAGGTTAAGTGATGTTGTGGGCATGCACACACATGGACACACACACGACACCCACGTGCACAAACACGTGTGCACATGCGTACACATGTATTCCCACACTCCCCCAGGGAAGGGCATTAGCACACGGAGCTCAGGAACTCTAAGAACCTTCAGTGATCTCTGACCTGTGCAGGAAAACACAAACAGGGTCCCCAAGGCCTAGTGGAAGGCGGCTTATCCACTGTCACAAAGCAGGCCTGGGGTAGAGCCGCATCTCTGGCCCCGCCCAGCCTAGGCCTGACTGCCCTTGGGGTAAAGCGATGGTGCTGCCCTTAGCTCCTTCTCTGGATTCAGTCAGGGGCCACTGCCCCCTCCATGCCCACTTCCTGCCCCCTCTCATCCAAGGGCAGCAAGGGAATTGACTAGGATGGGGGTTCCTCAGAAGAAAGGCCCTTTGACCACAGAGGGGGCTACTCCGGAACCTGTATCCCTGCTCTACACGCTGGGTTTACCGGTCAAGCAACTTTTCCTTTAGAACCAGTAGGGGGCGCTCCAGGGCCTGTGACATTTGTGGGACTCTGGGAAGGAATCCTGAGAGGTCATGCAGGCCATGTGGCCAGGCAGGCAATGTTTAAACCCTCCTAGCTGGAAATGTGGTCCTGTGAAAGCTCACCAAGAAAGGAAACCCCAAACCCATCTTCTATTCCCCTAAACGTGATAAACTGCTTAAATAGCTGCTGCTACTGAATCACGATAGCCAGCAAGAACAGAAACTACATGCTGAAGAGATTATATACCAGGCTCTGTACTATACACTTCACTTGCTTTTGTAGGTATTATGTGCCCATTACGCAGATTTAACAGAGACTCAGAGAGGTTAAGTAACTTGCCCCGAGTCACACGTCTGGTAAGTGTATAGCCAGGACTCAAACTCAGGTCCTTTTGACATAAAAACTTGCTCTGTCTGGATCTGGGGCCCTAATATCAGCCCAGGTGCTAACTTGCTGGGTCACCTCGAATAAGTTCTCTCCCCTTTTGGAGTCTCAACTTCCTCTTCTGTGAGATGAAGGGACACCCGGAACGACCTCTATGGACTCCAGGCCTTGTAAATTCTCTGGTTTGGGGTTTGAGGAGGGACTGTCCTTGGGTTAGATCTCCCTTGGTCTGTCTGGGGTAATGAGAATGATGCAGGGCGTTCCCCATGTTACAGCAAGCCTAGTGCCTGCTCCGGCCCTCCAGAGACACAGCTGCTGCGCCTTCGAGGAGAAGGAAGGGCTGGCTGTCCTACGAGTCCTCAGGGGCAGCTGGGGAGAGGATGGAGGGGCTTTGGGGATGGGTCGTGGGTGCAGCAAGGGAGGGGAGAGTCTGGAGGCAGGGGGAGCTGGGCCCCTCGGACCACAGGGGAGACAGCCTCCCAGCCTCCAAGATGATGGGGCTCACAATCCAGGCTTGGGGACCACCACGGTGAGAGCTCTCAGCTAGGCCCTGGAATGACCACTAGGCAGATAGGACCAGAGGGTGAAGCCTGGCAGAAAGTCCTTTGAACTCTGGGGCCGGGGATGCCAGTGGTTCTGATTGGCCATTACCAGGCTTCTGTGGGCTGCTGGCTTTGTCCAGCGTGGCACCTGCCCTTCCTGTCCCACACTGTGGCTGCAGCCCTGCTCCTGCCACGGATGCCCCCGTCCAGCCCACCCGGGACTCCACGGCTGGGGAAAGGGGATGGCAGTGGGCACACGTGGCTGAACAGGCACCTGGCCAGGCTTCCAGCTGTCACTCTGGCACCTACAGCTCTCAGCAGCTTGTTCCCAGGGGAGTCCCACATTTCCCCGCCCGCTACCCACCTAGTAGTGGCTGGGGACCCACACTGCTCCCTGCAACGCCACACAGGAGAATCTCCTTGAGGAAATGCCCAGAGGCCAAGGGCACAGTGTCAGCCCTGAGAGGGGCTTGTGCGTCAGGTGGGGGAGCCATCAAAACCCAAGGGAGGGTCTCCCTGGTGGCGCAGTGGTTGAGAGTCCGCCTGCCGATGCAGGGGACACGGGTTCGTGCCCCGGTCCGGGAGGATCCCACATGCCGCGGAGCGGCTGGGCCCGTGGGCCATGGCCGCTGAGCCTGCGCGTCTGGAGCCTTTGCTCCGCAACGGGAGAGGCCACAACAGTGAGAGGCCCACGTACCGCAAAAAACAAAAAACAAACAAAAAAAAACCCAAGGGAGCTCTAGGGCCCCTCCTCTCCCGCGGCTTCAAGGCCTGATCTCTGGAAGATTAATGGCAATTTAACTGCTTCACCATCCCAGCTTGAGGCTAGGCCTCTTCACAGGCCTGGCCACCCAGATTCGTGCCTGTGGCCAGCTCTGCTCTCTTCCCCACTGGCCCAAAGCCATTTTTATGGTAGATGGAAAATATCCCACAGGGACGAGTTCATAGTGAGAAAGATAGCAAGCGTCTGTGCATTTCTGGGCCCAGGTGTGTGCAAATGGAGAGTGGCGGGAGGATCACCACCCCAAGCGGGTGTGCAAGGCACTGGGGGAGGGCACAGGCGTGTCCAAAAAGTGGATTCTGGTCTTGCAAGCGCCCTTGATCCCAGAAGTCAGTTTTCCGAATAGCAGCACACACGTCCTCCCGGGCCACTACCACTTAAGCAGGGGAGAAGGAAGGAATGTGGGTGTCATCAGCAGTGGCCTCCCCAGGGGCCGCTGGACCAGGTACAAAGGAAAAGTTTGCATTTCCTGGTTTGGGGGGCCTCTCTGGATCTTGTCCAATCCTGGGGGAACGCCATCTTTCAAACTGGACCCTGGACCCAATCCAGTGTGTCTTCCCCTGGGCTCTGGCCCCATGTCACTGCAAGTGGAGCCCCCAGCGCTACTGGAAGCCCCCTCGCAGTGACATGGGGCCAGGCGGTGGATGCTGTGTGCCAGGCTGATGGGTCCTGGAGGGTCAAGAGGGACTCCTGTGATTTGTTTCACTGTTGACCTGAGCTTTGTAAACAGAAATCTAAGGGACAGCAGGCCGGCTCGCCCTGCTGCCGGCTGAAGGCTCCAGGAGCGGGGAAGAGGGGCGTGCAGGGGAGGAACCCTACTGAGGGTGTGGCCTGCCTGGCCCCCAGGCCCTTGATAACAGCTGGCAACAGTGTCCAAGCAGCAGTGCTGTTCTGGAGACTCAGAGACTCCTGACCATGGGGGTAGTGGACTAGGGGGTCAGACCGGGTTTGGGTTCCTGCTGCCCACTACTTATCAGCTTGTGAGTCTCAACAGTGTCAGCTATAAAATGGGATAGTTATTGCTCTCCCACCGCCCTCTCCTGACTAACTCATCCTGGAATTCCCAGGACTCAGCACGGCGCTTGGTGCAGACGGGTGCTCTCTTCTGTGTAAGAATCACCACTCTAGAGCAGTGGCTAGTTTGCTTGGACCCTCTGGCCCCTGCATGTTGGGTGGTGTCAGACACAGCTGGGTTGACACCTCTGTCCTGTGTCCCACAGAGTGAGAGGACACCCTGCACTAGGAATGCCCCACGGGGTTACCAGTGCAGGCACTGGAGTCCAGCTGCTGGGTGACTGTGGGCGAGTCACTGAATTGCTCCTGTGCCTCGATTTCCTCATCTGTAAAATGGGTCCTTTAACTTTTATGACATAGGGCTGTTGTGAGGTTTAATGGAGACAATCCATTTGCGTGCTCTGCACAGCACCAGGGACATAGCACGGACCCTCAGCAACATCAGCTGTTGTTGATCACCAGCATCACCATTATGAGCCTTGACTAGCAGGGAACGAGGTTGACGTTCTGTGCTCCCTTCGAGGGTGGGAAGAGGCTGACGTCTGGTTGTCTGGGCCCCCGGTGCCGGGACTCACCGTGGCATTGACGGTGAGCTGGTAGGCCTGCGTGGTCTCGTAGTCCAGCTCCTGGATCACTGTGACAATGCCACGTGCACTGTCGATGGCAAAGAACGGGGAGGGGGGCTGAAAGGAGAAGAGGACGCTGCCGCCTGCACCCAGGTCGGGGTCTGTGGCATTCACGATGAAGATGGGCGTCCCCACTGGCGTGTCCTGGGGGAGAAAAAAGCAAATAAAAGGGTGAGCTGGAGCTTGGAGCAGCTGCCTCCGTCAGTGACTATTCCCCCAAAGCCCATTAACCATGGCCCTCCAGCCAGCCAGACCTGCGGCTTTATCATTTTTATTCTAAGAGGGTTCAGAGGAATTTAAAATGCACCATCTATTTTTTTCCCCTTTTTTTGATGGCCTCCTGGTGGCTGTAACAGCACCAGTTCCAAAGATGATCTGCTCGTCCTGGAGTTCCGGATGAGGGTCTTTTGGTCCCCAACCCCCTGTTTCTTGGCGGTTCTGTTTTCACTGTCAGGTGCCCCTTGGCTGCCCAAGCCTCAGGCACGGGCTGCTCTGGAGGGCAGCCAGGAGTCTGCGTATTGGAGGTTTCAAGGGCAGGGAGCGGGGAGATAAGTGATATGGGGATGTGGCAGAGAGTCTGGGGACTTTGCCTGGCTCACAGAGATTACCTGGTTTGCCCATGGTTGGGGCATCCACCTGCCATGCCTGGGCCATGTAACCAGAGAGGCCCACAAAGCCTGCTCAAACATCACCACCTCCTGGGATCCTTCCATGATTCCCTCTGCTACACACTGTGTATAGACAGACCCCTGCCCCTTTCTGACTTGGGGTTTCTGGTTAAATGTAACTTCTTCATGGAGGCCTTCCAGACCCTTAAGCCAGGTCAGCCCCTACCACGCCCCCAACCCCTGCCACTATTTATACTCAGAGTCCCACAGCACCCTGGAATGGTTCATCACCCAGAATTCTTCTGTAATTCCCCGGCCAGTGCCTGTCTCCATCATAGCACATGTGCTCCATGGAAGCCTTAGGGTTCTATCTGCCTTGCCCAGCACGGTGCCTGGCACATGGCAGGTGTCCAGTAAATACCCTTTATGAAGACATGAACGAATCCCTATGACAGCATTTAGCACTTTTTATTCTAAGTATCTGCGTATTCGCATCCTCTGCCCAACTGTCAGCTCTCATCACCGCCGCGCCCACCACAATGCCTGGCATGTAAGTCATGACTGCAAAATTCTGCGTGAGTAAATTTATTCCTAACTTAGTGAGCTCTGGACACATCTGAAGACAGGCAACTTAACGAGGCTCTGCCCAGAGACAGAAAGGAAGAAACAATCCTTGCTCCCGGTGACTGACTGACTGACTGTTATGTGCCATGTCTGTGCAGTAGGCTGTACCTGTCAGCTCTGTAACAAGCAGATTTCTAGGTGGTTGCTATTATCCCACTTTTGAAAAGGAAGTTGAGGCTCAGAGAGGTTAGGCAACTCACCCAAGTCACACAGCTAGGCAGTGGCAGAGAAGGCCTTGAATTCAGGTGCAGTTAATGCTAAGCCTATGCTCTTAAGCTCTATTCTAAACACGTCTCTAAACCTCGATGGCGGTTCTTTCCCTAACTCTTCTGCACGGTGCTGAGGTCACCTGCCAGCATGGGTGGTACCCCCCAGCCAGGAGTGAGGGATTGGACTGAAAGTTCCCTGAGGGCAGAGACAACATTCCTAGTCCTCTGGGATCTTTTTACACTGGGACAAATGACTGGGTCCCTTCTGACACCTGCAGGGCTCCTTCCAAGGAGGGCATTCATATTACTGCCCCCTCTCCCTGCTGCTGGCCATGACCTGGGCCCTGGCACTACCTTGAGAAGCTTCTCTCTTACCACTCTCGGGTACGCTGTCAGCCCTTCCCCAGGACTAGCTGCTGGAAGCAAGGGTGCTCTCTGCAAGGCCCCTAGTCAGTCTGGAAAGGGCCTCCAGAGGACAATGTCATGAAGTTGCCATTGTTTCTCTCTGAGTGTGCTGCCCCTCCCCCATCAGGCAAGTGTCAGCCTGAACGGACAGGCTCAGATCCTGTCCTTCTCCAACCAGCAGTAAGGACAGGGGCAGATGGGCAAGGACCCTCTCCTCCATACCATCCATGATGCCCCAGTGCCCTTCTGCACGGGACACGGGCCCCCGCGGTCCTGCGCTTTCTCCCCCTCCACACTTCAGTTCCTGGCAGGCGCCGCATCCTGGCCTTTTGGCTAAGATCACGTGTAGTTTCTTTTCTCATCAGCTTACTATTTCCTGGCAGGTAGAGCTATTTGTACTTCTCCAACCCAGCAGGCTCCCTTACACTTCTGAGTTCCTGAACCTGCTCTGCCTTTGCTAGGTCTGCCCTACCCATCTCAGTGGCTTGGAAAACAGATGTTCTCTCTCCCTCCAAAAGAGCATCAAGTATACAAGGGGGTAGACTGGACAAGTGCTAGGATTTCAGGGATAGAAAGACCTCTGTTGAAACCCGAGCCTCACTGTGTGTCTTTGGGCTAGTTACTTAATCTCTCTGATCCTTAGTCCCCTCTCTGTAAATCGAAGTTAATAATATCTCACAGGGTTAATGTGAAGAGTACTCGAGCTCATGAGTGTAAACTTCCCAGCACATAATAAGTGCTTAGAAGATGACAGTTGTAATTTTATTGCCTGAATGCCTTCTAGAGGACGGCAGACAAGAACACCTTCAAGGGTAGGGCAGGGAGGCATAAAGAAACACGATGACTATTAATGATACCGCACTGGGCATTCCCTGTCTGCAATCCCCAGATCTACCGAGTACCCTGCTCTGCCATGACACCACCCCGCCCCGCCTCCCCCACCCGGGGCGGCCTCAGTGGACTGCATTCCTAGGCTCCCTTGCAGGCTGGCTTCTGCCAACGGGAGGGGCTGGTAGGAGCTCAGAGTTTGGGGAGGAGACAGGAGGAGAAAGAGTTTGGGGCATCACTTCCCCAATCCCTCCAGCTCCAACCCAGCAGCCTCTCCTCCCTGGCCCCAGTTTTCAGTGCGCTCCAGCCCCTCCCCTTGCCCCTCCAGCCCTAGGAGTAGAAAGAGCTTCCCATTGCTGCTAGTCTCTGGTGCCTCAACATCCCTTAACGTCCCCCTAGGCCTGCGCCCCCTCTGGAAGTTGTCTCTTCACCGAAATGCCTTTATCGAAACTATCCGAGATGAACTGTTTCCTGGGGGACCCTGATGGACCCAGGTACTCTGCAAGGACCTACCCCGAGCCGCCACGTGCAAAACCCCAGAAACTGTACTCCTCGGGTGCTGGGCTCAGCGAAGCCAGCCTCCACCCCAACACGCCACCACGGCGGCACTGGTCTCGAGGAGGTCTTTATGAGGTTCTCAGCTAAGCTACAGCTCTCTCTCTTCCCCCCGCCCCCATCTCTAGGTCCAACATGCACATCGCAGGAGTGCCGACATCAGCCCCCAGCTCCAGAACAAGGCACGCCGTCGAAGCCTGTAGTTCCTGCCACGAGAGGGATGGACATGTTCCGATTTCAGAGTGACCAGCCCCCTGTGAGGCAGCGAGACAGCACTTCAGAGTACACGCCACGTGGAGCTAGTGCCCAGAGGAGAGGGACGGCTCCTGCGAGAACATCAGCTCTCCAGCCCCCTGCCTCAGGGAGGAGAGGGTATTTCACCCATCCATACTGAATGGTCCAGGGTGAAGGCTGTGATCAGAGGATTTAAGAGCAAGGTCCAAGAAGACAGGAAAAGGGGGAAAATAAGGGATGGTCCTGTGTCCAACCTTCTCGGATTATGTTTCATGCCCCGCAGTGAAAACCTATTCAATTTCTGCCTAACTTAGAAATGGTTTTAAATAGGCCTGGCAAAGAGCTGGGAGGGGTGGGATCTGAGGCAGGGGTGGGAGGGGTGCTTGGAGGCCAAGGAAGCTCCTGAGCACGAAGGCCAGGCCTGACCACACACCCCTCAGGGACGGCTTGAATGCAGAAGCTGGAAGGAACCTTGGAGATTAGCCAGCCTAGTCTCCCATTTCATAGATGGGAAAAGTGAGGGGATGCGCTTCCATGCTCTCCATCTCACAGGTGGTTAACGGCAGAGCTGTGACTGGAAACTGGGTGCTCTGACTCACATATAAGTGCTTTTCTCACCTCACCCGGAGACACCAACCACTGCCTCCCTGCCCACCCGCCTTCCGAGTAGAGATGCTCTTTATACCCGCAGCTCTGCTCAGAGGGATGGACCTAGGTGTTCATGTTTGTACCAAGTGGCTTCAGGCCCAGGCCACATGTGATTGGTCCAGGGGTAACCACCTGACTCAAGCGGGCCAATCAGATGGGGCCTTGGAAACTCAATCAGTTTTCTGTGGGGAACTGAAAAAAAGATTCTTGCTACCTGGTTGGGGTAGAGTGGGCACCATGACAGGCCGGAAGTCACACAGAAGCCACAGTTACAGGGTGGCAGAGGAAGCCCATCTGCAGTGAGAACGGAGCACGGTGAAAAAGAAAAGCAGAGACAGGGGTCTCTGAGGGCCTCCCTGGCCCCGGCCTTCACAGCCCCTGTCTGGCCCTCCCTTCCTGTCCCTGGCTGTGGTGCTGAGACACAGTGCACGCTGTCCTTCCTGTTGGTACCACTTGCTCACTCTGCCCTGCGTGGGTCTTGGCTCCTTGCCCCACTGGCACCCCCAGAACACATCCAGCCGCGGGCAATTCCTCCTCACCCCACGGCTCTGCCGCAGGCTAACCCTGCCCCTCGCCTGCTGGGATTTGGCCCCTTTAAGGCCCACAGCTGGGCCACAGAGAGCAAAGCTCATGGCCAGTACTGCTGACTGTTGAGGGCACAGGAAGTAATATGGGGAGAAGAAAGTGGCCTGGGTGAAGGAATGCCGGCTCCCTCTTCTTTCTAAGTGTCCCCAGACACTCCTTTTAACATGCAAATCCATCCAGGCCATTGAAACGATCAGCATGCATATGGGGTGGCAGGAGTGTGGGCTTGACACAATTAGCCAGGACAGGCCTGGAGGAGGATGCCCCAGAGAGCCAGTTTCTGCCTGCCTGGAGACAGGAGACCAGGGGGAAGGCGCCCCCTACCCCCTACGGTGTCTGGCCTTGGAGTTCAGGGTCTACAGAACCATAGCCAGGTGGGCCTGGGCTGTGCAGGCAGGGCCAAAAGGCCCATTTCGGCTGGGGGGTGCCGTGCAGCCCCATTCTAGGG